CCCCTGACCTGCACAGATCCAGGGCACCACTCCCCACCAGACTCTCTCAGGGTACATGCAACAGCAAGAGCTGCCCCCACCCCTGGACAAGCCAGGGCTCTGTCCTGCACCCCACCCCACCCTGGCTGGGCAGTTTCTGGCCCAGGCCCTGCCCCACTCCCTCCTGCACCACAGGGGCCTTGATCTGCCCCCCACCCCCCATGCCCCTTCCACCACAACAGACTTAACAGCCAGACACTGCTCTTCAAGCTACCAGGCTGCATATTGGAAATCAGATCAGTATCAGCCAAGATGCCTCCTTAAAAATCAGCTATCGATATTGTCCCCAAAAATCTATCAGTGCAACCCTATTTGTAGGCTGTTGTTTCAGTCCAGGGGTGCTCAAGATTTTGTCCTCAGTGGGCCAGAGGAGTGGTACGAGTCTGATCTGCTGGCTCGATCAAGCCCGTGCCAGGTTCAGTCCCTAGGGCACAGCACCACCCTCAGGCAGCCCTGTACACTAGGATCAAGTACCCAAACGAGCATGCAGGGCCTGGGGCTCCCCATGGGTCTGGAAATTTGTCAGTGGGGGACCAGTGCCACCACTCCCCTGCTGACAAGTTTCCAACCCCATAGGGAGACCTGGAGGCCACACAACAGCACCAAGGGAAAATGCCTCTATTAATCTGAATCTTTCAGAGTATCTGTTTAACATTCAAAGTCAGTTTTGAAGAACTAAATCCAGTCAACACCTGTTAGTAGCCAGATATTTGTGCCATGGTGTTCCTAAGTGGCTGTTTCAGTTATTGGGAAGAAATGCTGCTGCTAAGAGGCTGTTGCTTTTATCAGGTCCAGCTGCAGATGGGTTTCAACAGTATTTTGGCTTGTAATCTGTTCTTAAGGCATCATAAAACATGAGCTATATACACTAAAAATAACCAAGTTTAGGTATGTTAACAATATGATCTTGTACTGATAAGTAACTTGCCACAAAAATATGCACCCTTCCTTCTCTAAAAGTAACAGGCAAGGAGAAAAAAAGTTACAAATAAGACAAAAGAAAGACCTGTCAACTTGTTTATTCCAAGAACAGCATCCTAGCAAGTATCAAGTTATTTGCATATTAATGTGCTTCAGTTTGCAAATCATGAAAGGCATTTCATTTAGTTGTAATAACTGCAGAGACAACATTTTCTCGGTAATCCATAGAGGAAAAATCTGCAGTTGTGTCCATGTTCATGAACAGATATAATTCTTAGTGTTATAACAGCAATTTCAAGCTGCTTTTGCCATATGTTTGAAGAACAGATCACTGGGCTAAAGAGCATAACACAAGTAACACTAAAAAAAAAGGGAAACCAGATCTGTCAAAGCAAGGGGATTTGGCTCTTGAATAGATGGCAAATACACTGAAATAAAAGGAAGCTTTATTTAGAAAATATTGGAAGGTGGGAGGGGGAAAAAGAAACAAACAAATGAAACACACAAAAACAAATCTTATACTAATGAAATTAAAGCCCTGGTATGAACAATAGCTAGAATCAAGCTTAATGCAGGTTTTCCCCATAAGATCTAAACTAGCTCTGGTGGGAATCCAGAGAGAGATACATTGTGCCTATTTTCTTTAAGTTGTGAATATATATGTTTGTCAATACATACACACACATTTAACCCACAAACACTTTTTGTACTGTCACAAAACCACAAAGGCAGCAAGCTGAATACATAGATACAGCGATGTCAACACCTAGGTGCAACAGGTAACATCAACCAATGACTCAAATTTCAGCTTAAGAGACTTTTTGCTCAAAGTCTGATACAAGGGAGCTCTCCAGAGCAGGTATTTGATTGCTTTAAAACAAAGTTCATGACCCCTATGCAAAACAAACTAGTATTTATCCCAATTTTCAGTAAACAGCTGCTAGAGAAGATTATAATCACCACTGGCATCCTGACTGGCAGACACAGCAAGGGCCAAGGGCTGCATGGACATTTCAGTTCTTAGAAGTCAGTAATCAGTGCCTTTAATCTAGATATTTCTGTAAGCAACTACTATGGAAGGGGTGAAGTTTCACCCATTTAACATGGCAAGGGTGGAAAGTATTTTTGGATCACACTACAGGAACTACATAGACATGGCAGGAAGTCCACTCATTATACTGAAGAAATATATAACTGCCTCCAGCAAGTTAATCAATTGTAGAAAGCTGCGAAGTTCAAAGTGGACAGGAAGATGCACTTTGTAAGCCAGGTCCTTTTGAATTATTGCAATATTCAGTAGAAATAAGTCCCTTCCCCTACAAATAAACTAGATATTCCTGCTTCATGCAGGGATACTGAAGAGAATGAAAGACACGATTATATATTCATGATTAATTAAAAAGAATGAGAAATACTTCAGTGTTTGGGAAAGGAGGGTACAGGACAATTTTTCTTCGGTCATGAACCAGGGTAGATAATAATCAACAATTAAAAAATAAAACAAAACAGGTTTTTAAAAAATTTAAATCAGATTTCATTTAATCAGACTTTTTTTTTTATTAAAGATGCTTTAAAAAATAAAGCTAGTTATATAAAGATAGTTTTAATTTAAGATATGTTAAAGCTCAAAGATCTCATCATGGAATAGTATATACTTAGAAATAAATAATAATCCCTATGAGACAATATGTTCATGTAACCTTTTTAGAAGTTTTATAAATAGGTGACAACAGTCCATAGACTATATCAGGGGCCCAATCTTAGGGGGTCCCAGAGACTCCTTTATAGATTAGTAAAGATTAAAGAAGACCACTCTACCCAATGGGAACTCAGTGCTCAGTCTAGAACATCCCATTCAGCAACTCTGTGATGCCTAGCTTCAGTTCTCAAACTGGATTTCTGTCTTCAGAGATCATAGGCAGACAAGGTTCTTTGGGTAGATGCAATGTCTTTTATTAGATCAACTAAGCAGTTGGAAAAAAATTGTTCTTTGCAAGCTTTTGGGCACAAACACCCTTCTTCAGGTATACGGAGAGTCTTATCTCCAGAGATAGCAGCAGTATATGGAACAGACCTGATTTACCCACCCATCAGTCCTATAGTCAGTCTTTCTGCAAGTATGTGTATACACAGTCAAGCCCTTACCTTTCTCTAAAAGTGCAAAGTTTCAAGAAGTTAAATGGATAAAGGATATCAAACAACAATGATGTACTATTTGTAGTAAACAATGATTAAATCGAGGCTTTCTACCCAGCTATCTAAATCATGATTTAAATCGTGATTTTACATCACTCATTTAAATCAAATCCAGCCTGCCACAAACCATAAAATAAAGCCAAATCTGCCCGAGCCTAGATCAGAGGTAAGCAACCCACTCACATAGGAGCATGGCATGTGAAGGCACTATGCTTGGCGCACATGCCTCAGGGCACATGAAGGGAAAGAGGCCAGGGCTGTGCTGCCACAAAGATCAGACCCCTCAGCTCCACACCATCCACCCCTGGCATGCCAACATTTTACGAGTCAAGGCTGCAGGTGTTCTTGGCACTCTACCCCAAAATACTGCAGACCCCTGGCCTAGATGGTCCATGGAACCAAACAACTGTGTCTTATCCCCACAGAAACCAAAAAGCACACACAAGGAATAACATGGCAAATGTCACACCTGACAAGGCATCCATGTGCAGCTAGGTCTGTGGAAGCTGCAACTCACACTTTTACATCCATACCAAAGTAGTCTTCCCCAGATCTGACACCATGCCCCTTGGTAATTAACAGGGGGAGGGGGGAAGAATAGGCTACCCTACCCTGATCTACCACTGAGAATCACTTGACAAGGTCCAGGGTAGGGTAGTCTATGTCCATCCCAACTATGCAGTTGATCCCATAAAAAATGCCACCCTACTAGAATCACAATCCAGGTGTTTCAGCATTCATACTA